TTTTTTGTTTAAATTATTAGATTGTCGGTAACTGTCATATGTTATATCTAATTATTTCTTCATTTCTTCTTTCTTCTTTTTCTTCTTTTTTTACTGTTTTTGTTTTCATTTAGAAGCACTATTTGAATGCTAATACTGCTGTTGCTGCTGCTGCTGCAGCAGCTGCAGATGATGCTTTCTTTATTCAGCTATCAAAAGATTCTTTTATTTCAGCTATCATTGTTGAAATGTCGGCGAATAGGTGGGGTTTTTTGAAAAAAGATTGTAGAGGATGAGCAGAAAATTTAACATTGAAAACTTTTGATTTGTACACTTTTGTAAGATAAATCCTGAACACCCTTTTCTTTTTTTTTCACTTTCTTTTTTTTTTGATTGCAATTCGATTATTGACAAATTTATAAATCGGAACTGTACAAATAAGTCTGGAAGAAAACATTTCAAAAAAACTATCAGCTTTTGTATTATGTCAAAAATTTGTAGAGGATTACTGCTGCTGCTGTTGTTGTAGACGGTAGATTTTTGGATTGAAAAAACAGATGTAGAATGTGAAATTTTTTATCAAATATCAAGTTTTTAGGTTTGATAAATCACAACAGAATACTGTAAGCAGGTAATCTACAAAAAAAAAAAAAAAGTGCCAAAAAATTTTGCTAAAAAATTTTATCAAATATTGCTGTATTAATGCATGAAAAAAAAAAAAAAGAACAGACAAGCAGCAGTGTTTTTTGCATGTGATTTTTTAGTATCGCTTAATTAGTGGCTTAGGTGTTATCATTAAAGTTTAAAAATCAAAGATTAAGATTATAAGAAAAGTTATGTTTTATAAATAGTTTATTGTTTCTTTTTTTTCTTCTTCTTTTATTCTATCTTTCAATGATTGAAAAAAAATGATTTTTTGATATAACTACCAGCGACAATAACACTATAAAACAATTCATTTGGTTGACAAAAAAAAAAGTCTTTATTTTTTTGTTTCTAATTAATCCTATAATGTTGATTGGGAATACCAAAAAAAGGATAGATTACAAAATTACATCAATTGATGCAAAAAATTGCAAAAAAAAAAAAAAAAAAAAA